TCGGGCCCTTCTAAGCGCCTTGACCCACCGGGGCCCACCCCCATGCCCCCCCTGTTACAGCCAATCGCCAAGTCAGGCCTGACACAACCCAAAATGTCTACCACCATGCACACCCTCTCCACGAGTGGGGGGATGGGGGCGTACCGACAGGCCTTCGCCGCGCGCAGCCCGCCCGACCCGTATTCCGCTTCGTTGAGCTGGAATCGGAGCGGGAGCACTCGGGGGAGGGGGGGAGTGGCATGTCACCATCTCAGCCCGATCTCGGCGAATACCGCCGGGGTGAAGGGGGAGTTCCCGGCCTCACCGAACCGCACGCAGCGGATAAACTCACGCGATGGTGTTTTGCAGGTGGAGGTTTCCTCCGTTTCGAACACCACCGGGAGCGGGTCAAATCCTGCAGATCTCGAACTGAGCTGCTCCTTGCTACAGCAAAGCTGGCTCCCGTGCAGTCCATCCAACTCGAACAGCAGCAGAACGGAGATGGGATCCGATGAAGACAACCCGATACCGAATTCGAGCTATGAATTGAATCCAAGCCCGACAAATACAGCCATGGATGATGATATAATCACGGTCACCACAATGACTTCCACCGCCACCACCGCGACGCCGACGCGGACCCCGAAGGCGGGCAATTGGTCGCCAGGACCTCGACCGCTTTGCCAGGGCTTTGGCTTTATGAGTGGGGATCGGGGCAAAGGCCGGCCGCAGGATGCCGCGAAGGCCTCTCCATGCGTTCAGTTCGTCGGGGATAGCAAGCCCCTAGTAGAGCGTGCCAAGGGATCGATCCTCGGCAATAGCCTAGGCATCGACGCGGACGATCCCGAGACGTCTGGTGTGGTGGTGATCGGCCGAAGCGCGGCGAGGGTGAGTTTGGTGCACAAACAATCCGGATTCAGTTCCCCACGTGCCTTTGAGCATTTCAAAGACTTGGACCCCACGAAACTTGATAAGGTTGGCTGCGAGAATTCGCATATCACATCCGATGGCGGCGGGGCTGTCGCTGCACATCGTCGCAATACAGGGGTTTTATCTGCCCGGGAGACCTTTTTTTCGACCTTGCCTCGCCTTTCCGACGTCATCACGACGGACATCACGATGAAGTCCTTGGAGAAGGTACTGCTAACGGGTGCGCCGTGCACTTGGCTGAGTTGTATTGCTTTGGCGATCTCCTACGTATCGGGTGTACCGACCACGGTGGAAAAGGTGCTGCGGGTGAACAGCATTGGTATGCACTGTGTTTGCCAACCCGCCATCACCCTAGCAGAGGCGTACGACATGGTGAGTAACTATCTGCACGTTAGTTTTCACTGCAATTCGACACCGTCTTTGTATACGAACCCTGAGGAACTTCAGGATGAGGATGAGGACAATAAGTGGCTGAAACCGGAGGAGCAGAAGCTGCTACCGCATTTGCACTGCGAGATGGCGACCTTTGACTCCGAGGTCCTTGATCCCATCGACGAAAATGACACCAGCTACGGCATGGGCGAGCATGCACCGGTAATCTCGCTTGCAAATTTTCGCACGATGCTCGTCAAATACTTGAGCGATGGTCGTTCCATTTACATCTTCAACTTTGATCCGTACATCATTGAAATGGATGAGAGGCGACTGCGCAGTAATATGGCGGAGACGGAAGAGGAAGCTGCAGCTATCCTCACCGGGACGTGCACCAAACCTAACAACGAGGGGACGTTTGGGATTTTGTTAAACTTTAGTGTGGCACGGAATACGGCAACGGTGGTAATCCCTCACCATTCGCGTGAGCAGCATCCCATGCGTAAGATGTTTGAAGAACCAACGCGCTCCCCTAATATACGGCCAAAGGGGACCTGCAAAAGCAGTGGTGGGGGCGAAGATGCCGTCCCGCACTACTGTCACCTCCTCTCCGCAGACGAGCTCCAGCGGCGTTTCTCCTCAGTTTTCTCCTACGTCCTCCTGGAGGAGCACGTGATTAGCCTGAATGTTTTGTACGAGGCGGTTCGACAGAGGGATTCTTATACCAAGCTTTCGCGCGGCTTTGTGCGGGTTTTTTTTGATCAAAACTTTTCCTCCAGCATCCCCTCGATCTTTCCGCTTTTTGTGTTGGACGGCAGCAGCTCTGCGGGGCTCGTGACAAGCGTCCTGGACGCCTCCATCGCACCACACCTGCTGGGGCTGGCGATGATGCATCATCTCACGATTACTTTTTTGTTAAGCGATACCGCACGACGAAAGCAAAGCAGTCGATGCCTACTGAACAAGACCAACGTCTGCGACGTGAAGCTGCGCGGGATCCCGCTCACGAAGATCTTCCAGCAGTTGCGGCTGCCCCTTTCGATTATCGTCAGCTCGAGCACGCGCTCATCGATCGCAACCGTCTTCGCCTGGTATCGGATCTTTTTGCAGAATTTGCAAATCGCGCAGGAAGTGCGGCTGGGGATCGTCCTGCCGGTGCGTCGCGGGAACTCGGAGGATGGGCAGCCTAACCTCACCGAAGAGCAATTTCTTTCTCATCTGCGGCTCGTTGTGAACACGCGGAGCGTGATGTTGATTAGCTTCAACATTAACATCGCCGTTAACCTTAAACTCAGCGACAGCCCCGAGCCGGCACATTTTGCGATCGTCATCGGGCTCGACGAGGCGCGCGGTGTGATTCGACTGGCGGATGTGAACGTCAAGCGCTTTCGGAAGACTTGGCATGTGCCCTTTCACCGTCTGTATAACGCCATCATGGGTTACGGCTACGTTGTCGCGGCGAAGGAGAACAAGGTCATTAAGGGGTTAAATTGTAAAAATTTTCAGGCAGAGGTGTTGAAGTGCGGGCGATACGCGCTCCCTCCCCAGCTCGAGGTGTGCGAGCACCGCTTTGAGTACCCTTCGCATCCCTATGCGGTGACGTTGCTGGCAGATGCTGTTGGCCGTCTCGGCTTCCACGCCGACGTCGAGCGCTTCTTAAACTACTCCGGATTTCATATTTCATACTTTCTCTCCAAGCGGATGCCACTAGAGGCGGCCGTGCAGGTGGTGCAAAACTATTCTCATTACGCCCTGGACGACGCGCTCGCTGTGGAGGCGACGCATTTTGACTACCACAAAGACCACCTCCCGGCTGGGGAGGAGGACCCGTGGCACCCTGTCAACCCCCACCACAAGGTCTGGACGGAGGAGGATCTTCTGCGGCAGATTCGGCACGCCCTCGGGAGCCCCGGGACGCGGCGGTTAGTGGTGAACTTCAACCAGCACCTTCTGCACGCCAGTCCGGAGCTCTGGAATGGGAGCCAGGATGGGGGCTATTACGCGATGGTCATGGGCTTCGACGAGCGTCCCCGCCTGGTCGCCCTCTCCGACAGCAACCCCTGCTCCTTCTACCGGTTCTTCGTGCTGCCCTTGGGCTCCCTGTTTGAGCTGCTGTGCCAGCCCAACGTGGGGGAGACCCGGGCCTACGGGACGCTGCTGTTACACCGCGACCACACTCGGGACGGGGTCTACGACAACACCCGCGGCTACGACATGGCGCACGCCCTGGTCCACCACCCATTTCGCCCGATCATCTCCGCCGCCTGCTCCTGCATGGCGCTCGCGGCGACGGAGATGATGATGAATATCGAGATGCCCACGATGCTCAACGGTGCCCCGATCGCCCTGGATGATGAAAAAATGAAGTACAGGCGGTATAATAATATCTTCTCCGCTGAGGATTTCTTGTATCGGCTTTCGTCCTTTAATTTGCACGCCTGGTTAACAAACACGACGTCAGTGCTTAGTACGGATATCGTACCATTGGCGAACGGCGCGTTGAAGAAGCTGAATCTACCGCTGATCGTGATTGACGCGACGCACGGAGAAGCCGAGGCTTTGACAGATCCTGAGGCTTTTGTGAAGGCGTGCCTCGGGATTAGCGGGCTTTTTACGATTACGATTATTGCCTATGATACCGATAAGATGTATGGCGTGCCGCATGGCTCGCTTGGTTTGGTAAATCGCGTTGAGGTGAATGAAGAGGATGCTAACGATACGACGGTGCAGATGCTGGAGGGAAATCCATGCCTTTGGGGTCCGATCTGTGAGCGAACAGTGCGGGAACTCATGCCTATGGTGAGCGCCATCGTATGCGTCTGTGAAAACACTGAAGATGAGGGATGTGAGAATAGCTTTTAGTCACTATATATCCATATCTATCTATAAATAGATAATATGAATAGAGAACAAGAGAAAGGAAGTGATAGTGAGGGCGGAATAAATAAACACATATTTAGTACTACTATAATTTATTATTTCTTCTGATAGTTTTTGCACCGTTCTTGATTCATGTTAATATAGATATTTATCTATCTATCTATCTCTCTCTTATATATATATATATATATATTTATTTATTTATATATATTCATTTATTTATCTTTATAAGATCCATTTGATGTGTATATACAAACTTGATCTTATTTTTATTGCCTTGTTGCTATTTTACACATAAAAAATAGTAGTTAATGGGATCTCAACATTTTTCCAAAATTCATATTTACGTTATGCTTTTTCTGAAATTTCAGATTGCATAAAAGAAGTTGATGTATCAATATTTTGAAATATATATTTAAACCTTGATGCTTGGTTTATACAAAATATATATATATATAGGTGTGTGTGTATGTATCTTTTCTTGCTTCATCGATATGAATGAAATGTAAACATTTATTCCTTTCCTTTTCATCTGAATTCTTTTTTTAAAAAAAAAACAGAATCGATGGATTTATGTATGTAATAGAACTCTATCTATACTTAAAAAAAAAAAAAACTTAGTATTATTATTATTATTTTTTGATAACGTACGAAATCGATCTTTTTGTAATTGCAGGCAACTATTTGGACAATTTCCATGGCTGGAATTCCCTTTTTTATGATTGCTTGACAATAAAGTCGATTTGAATTTAGGCAGCGGTTTACATATCAAAGAAGAGTGTAGATTTTTATGTAAAGTATAATATAAAGACGTTGTACAAGGGTGGTAAGAACAAGGGTACTTAGAGACTATTTAAGTGATGTTTCTTATTTTTTTTTACGTAAGGTTACTTACTTTATTTCTGAATAATAGGTACCCATAGCTTTTTCATCTCCCTCCCTTTCTCACTTTACTGTTATCGTTTCTGGATAGCTACTTTTTTAGATCTGGATTGATTTTTTACACTGTGAGAACATAGTATAAAAAAAAAAATCACTCAAGGTTGAATGCAATGCAACTGTGTGTGATGAATATTGATACTGGTAGTGAAAGGAGTAAATACAACGAATGAAAATAACAAAAAAATCACACTGTTTCGTGAGTGATTTGCATATTGTGGCTTTTTTTATTTTTTACCATTTATAATTGTGCAAGCTTCGCAGTTAACTTTTTCTTTTTCGTCACGTTAATATGCTTATTAATGGAGTAGAACATTAATCCAAGGTGGTCCGCGCCTTCACCACAATAAACGTTTTAATGAACTGTGGGGGGATGTAGAAGTGCCCATATGTGCGAGCTTTTTCTTATCCTTTTAATTTCATCTTCGAAAAGTAGAAAATCCAAACAGATTATTAACAAGGAAAATAAAAGAAATTAACTTTTTTAAAAAGTATAGATTTAAATAAAATAGACACCAAAAATAGTCCTTAGTAAAGCAGAAAATCCGTTAGGAGTATTTTACCTATATTGATAATTCACAATAAAATTCCATCTATCAAGGGGTTTACGCTGACATATAGATTAGTATATGTACACTAGAATTACCATAACACGGATTTGCGTTGTCTACTTCGGCTGACGCTCTTTTATTTATTATAAAAGTCCCTGTCCTGCCACACGTAGACATCGATACTTTCATTTGGATTGAATTGGTTGAGTTACCTTCATCTTTTTTTCTTGTTAAGTCTATCTCTAACGATCGATTTTTATCCCTCCATCTCTAACCGAATCCGCCTTGTTTTTAAACATTACCGACCCCGGAGGGTGGGGTTTTTTAAATTCTCGTGTAGGATTCGCCATTTTCATCGTCAATGGCGCATCATCTCATCGAGCATAGTTTTTTTTTCACCACAGATGAGCGCGAGGCCATTTATCGAGCAAACAGCGCCGTCAATACTCGCCCAGTGAGCTTCGTGACGCGAATCTTTTTCCCTTTGTGGGCTTACATCAGCGTAAAGCTACGGAATGAGCAAATCGCGCCGAACGCGATTACAATGGTGGGACTTTTGTGTTGTTTACAGGCCTATCAGCTGATTCATACTTATTATCCCTACGGCGCGATTGATGAGGGGCGGCCCTGCCCGCACGCGAGCTGCTGTCCCTACAAAGACTTTTTTGAGGCCAATAAAACAGTGCAGACGGCGACCCTCTTCGCCGCCTCGCTTTTGGTCGTTTCGATTGTTTGCGGGTCGCTGGATGGGGTCCACGCGAAACGCTGTCGAATCGCAACAAGCCTTGGGGATATTTTCGCGCGCATTTGCACCTCCATCTCGCGCATTTTCGTTGCCCTGACAGTGTTGGAGGTGATGCACATTGACGATATTCTAACCAAGTGGTACGTTCTTCTCATATTGCAGCTGATTGAATTCAACACCGTTCTCGGACGGATTAATGCAGAGAATTTGCGCAAGGATAAGGTGAAGAATTGGGCCTATGTTGTGACCTACTGCTTTCGCGATTCGGAGATCTCGTTCTTGATCTTGATGTTGATGGCGCTGCGTTGGATCTTCCCGGGCTTCGCGAGCTATATTATTTATCCAAACCATCGCTATGTTCAATGGGGCCACTTTTTTTTGTTGTGTATTTCCTTTCTCAACATCGCGCTGCTTAAGATGTGTGCAAAGCATAAGATCAGCATTGCGATTTGCCTTGTGGCGCGGGTGATGCCCATTTTCTACCTTCTTCCTTTTAACGAATACAGTCTTTTGTCGATTACGGGGGATGCCCTGGTGGTGGGATTATTATCTACGGAGGTTTATGTCAGCCATTTATGCCATCGACGCGTGCATGCCGCCGTGACGTTGATTTGCATTGGCTCCATCTTCAACGCCGTCGTGGCGGTGACCGGGACTGTCGTGTATGTTATTGGAATTTTGGTAGACCTCTCCTACTCGCTGAATTTGCCGATTTTTGTTCCCGTACGGAACGTTTATATCGACGGCGTTTTCGATCTTTGTCATGCCGGGCATAAACGGATGATGGCGAAGGCGCTTGGGTTTGGCAATCGCCTTATTGTGGGAGTTTGCGGGGATGAGGAGTGTACGATTTATAAGCGTCGGCCGATTATGACGACCAAGGAGCGGGTGAACGAGGTGAAGCTCTGCAAGTACGTTTCAGAGGTCATTCCCAACGTTCCCACCACCGGGATCACCGCGGAGATGATAAAGTTCTACAACATTCACATCGTCGTTTGTGGGGAAGAATATAACAACCCAAATGATACCTACTACGAGGTGCCGCGGCGGCTGGGCATTCTTCGAACGCTACCGCGGACCCCTGGTATTTCAACGAGCCTGCTGATCAGGCGAATACGTTTGGCAAGTGATTCGGATGTGGAGGCGAAGGATAAGTCTTCCGGAAAGTCGCGAGTGGGGAATAACGAATGATCGCGGCGCGTTAGGACTGGGTACGTATGGAGGAACTAGTCATTTCTCATCGTCTGTTGTACAGGATTTACAGGAACTGATCGCTAGCATCAGAGTACCACTGAAACAACCGCGATGATTCACATTAGAAGAACGATAAGGTTTGTGTGTATCTATTTGTGCCGTGATAGAATCAGGGGAAGGGGCCTTTTCTTTTCTTTTCTTTTCTTTTTTATTGTATTTTATTTTATTGTTTTTATTATTATTATTTGCTGTTTAGATTTAACATTTTCCTATTTCCCTAATGAATTTTTTATTGCTTTTTTATTTGGGATACACTCTAAAAAGATGCAATCAGCCCATAACTACAGAAAACACTCGTAACTGGAACTGATGGTGAACGCTTGGCTACAAGGAAATCGGGGAAAGAGGAGGAGTGAGGGGTAGTAGTTACAACTTACTACGTTTCTTGTTTGTTTTTTTCCTCTTCTTATTGGTATAACATATCAGATATCTAATGAACCTCCTTTACCTTGAATCTGTTGCAATTTGTAACAATCTTGGTATTTTTTGAATTTTGATATTTTTTACAGTCTAATACCTTTTTTAAAAAGGCGGTTTTTTAAAAATACATATATATATATATATATATATATATACCGCGTGTGAATACAAACATTATTTTGTTGATGCCATTTTTCTGTTATTGGAAGCGAAGGTAACCGTGGCATATGTAATTTCATTAGTAAGCTATTACAGTAGAATCGACTATGTCACAATATACTTACCGTACCTTCTTTGACTTTTTCCATCCTGATATTAGCGCACTTTTAACTGGGCTTGTATCACTTAGTTTCTACGTCTTAGATTCGCAATGGACACCTTCTTCCTTCCTAGGATCCTTTTTAGCTTGACTTACGATGACGCCAAGCAGACGTTATGAGGAAAACCGCCCCTATCTTTTTAAGAATGCAACCACAGCAAGCAGCATCGCTCTAGTGTTTAATTCTTACAGGGAATACGAGTAGTGTGTGGCTTTATCACCGATTGGTTTCCTTTATCACATGCTTCATGAATTGGATAACAGAAGGAGAGGTCTTTATTTTATCTATTTCCCTGATTTCAAGCATTCAGATGTTGCATGATGAATAGATCTATCTATTTAAGTTCACGGCATGATGAGGGGAGAAAGTTACATAGTACCATTTCCTTTATAGTCCTGTAGGTTTGATTTGTTATCACTCACTAAGTCCTCCATTTTGGGCTTTACATTCATGAAAAAAAAAAAGTTTTAGTTCTTAGATTACTGCCATTATAATTATTGTTTTGAGGGGACCAGTTGCAGCTATTCGGAAGTCTTTTTACACGGAGTTTGTCTTCGATTCCCCTATTCAACACTCACTAAAACTTGAAAAAAAGACCATAGGCAATGTTGGACACTAAGTAAACATGCTCAGAGAGGCTCAAACCTCTGCTATCCTCTGTTTTGCTTGCATTTTGGGGGGCCTTCCGCTCCGCTGATTTTTTCACGGACCCTCAGCGGATCACCGCGAACGCACCTTTCATTTGAATGCTTCATAGTTCATTTTCCTATCAATGACTTGAGCATTCGAGAGAATAAAAAATACCTCAATATATGACGCAACTCGACGACTTCGCCAAAGAAGTTAGGCCTAATTATATACTACCTCTTCTATTAATCTAGACTGTTGCTTTTTTTTATTTAGAAATTCACACCTCTAGAGAGGTTGCTTGGATGCGAAGATGAACAAAAAGGTGATGCTTTTTATTCATTATCTACAATAATATTTCATAACACATTCTTTTTTGTTTGCTAGTGGATCTATTTTGGATGTCGGAAGCTAATTTTTCTCCGCATACAAACAAGCATTCAACTTTTTTTCCCCTCTTCTTACCAACTTTTGTATTGTAGATGAAAATTCTAGAATTTGCACTATCTTGTCCAAAGAATTCATCTCAAGGAATTTTAGCCGATCTTCATTGGTACTGAGCCTACACCAGTAGTAAAGAGGGTATTGTATTGAGTTCTAACAGCTCGTTATTATCATTATAGTTTTTATTTATTTATTATTTTAGTATATATCAATTTCTTAATTTATTATCATTTTTGGCTTAGCAAGTTGTTCGAATTCGGTTATTCTTTCTCGAACTTGGCCTTTCTCAAAGAAGAAAAAGTGCCAACAAAGGTAACCTCGGGGCGCTTTTTTTTAAAAAACCTGTGTCATTGATATTTAGGGGTTTTCAAACGTTACACTGAAACACTAAACAGGAGTACGTGCACACTCCCTCAACAAAAAGAGAAAAACGGAATGCAACAGCAGAAAGACAATATGGCAACGAGGGTTAAAAATGATCAGCTTCATAAGCGGAACTTGCTTATGAAGGACTCCAACACATCCTACTGGTTTAACAAATCACCATCTGAGGAGCGCGTGAACACGTTTACGGAGGTCTTCGACCCCGACTTTAAGTGGGTCTATGCCGTGCCCAGTAAGTACGTCGTGCACGTGCCGCCCGCACGGCTCAATATCACGCGGCTGGTGCGCTGTCGCAACTACCGCGCGCACGAGCCCACGAGCTGCACGATGGGCGACAGCTGCAAGTTCATCCACGCCGACTGCAACTACGACGAGCTGGAATTGCACACGATCCACGTCAACTACATTTGGCGTCATGAGGACTTGTGCACCTATCCGCGGCTGCCGGCGGGGGATGTGCTGGAGGTGCTGCAGCCGAATGGGCAGACCCCCGCCAGCCTCATTTTCAGCAGCTGTGTGTTGGTTACCCGTGGCGCCCATCGATATTTGAAGCAGCGCTCTATCAACGGGACGTCAAAGCCAAGCTCCTCGATGGCGGAGATGGAACAAGGGCATTCGTACAGCTGGGGTGCGGGACCGACGCTACTGTTAAGCCACTGCCCACAGTTTTACTGCAATCGCATCTGCACCCGCGGCGAGGACTGCCTTTTTATCCACGCCCTGTACATCGACCCCAACTCCAAGACCCTTTATAAACGTGCGCCTGCGCGTTATCTTGCACAGCAGACTGGCGCGTCTTTGCATCGATCCGACGTGTCCACAGCGAGTGGTGTAGCTGCGTTGTGGTCGCCCGCCTACCCCTACGGAAAGCCCCCCGTTGCCATTGGGGGTGAGCCCCAGGGCAACCACATCCGGGAGTCTCGTTTCAGCGGTAATAGGAGCCCCCTCATGAATGACACTGAGAGTAATCCCAATGTAAATGACACTGAGGGTAACCCTAATGAAAATGACACTGAGGGTAATCCTAATGGAAATGACACTGAGGGTAACCCTAATGTAAATGACACTGAGGGTAATCCTAATGGAAATGACACTGAGAGTAATCCCAACGGTCCCTTGGGGTTGCTGAAACGGACGGACTGCTGTGAGAGAGGGGGGGTTGAGGTCGTGGATGGGGTGTGGCCCCCTTGCGGAGGCTGTGACGGAGTTTACACGATAGCGCGGAGCGACACCCTCGAACAGCCTGAGGCAGTAATGGGAAAGGAACAACATTGCCAACAAAACGACCCCTGCGGATGTTTCCTCGTCGAAGGCCACCCTGAGGATTTCGACCTCAGCATCCAGTCGATTCCGACGGATCGGACCACCCCTGCCGCTGCGAGAGGTTGCTCTGTAGGATCGTCGCCACAGCGAACAATGACAGCCGGCGGAGCCGCGCATGAGGTGGAATCGTTTATAACTGAAATCCAAAGCGAGGGATGCATCACCAGGAGTGTGGTGGGGGAACAGTCCCCTGCCGACGCGGATGCAAGCTTCAACAGCAGCGTAGCGCTTATTTCTTTGGTTCTTCCGAATTCAAAAGGCGGTGAACATCCTGTGCCGCCAGCCTCAGTGCCCAAGAATACCAACTGGAAGTCCTCATCATTTTTGGTGGACTGCCCATGGCTAACGCACCAAGCAAAGGAACCAGGCGATACTGCCCTGTTGAATGATCCTCCTGCCTACAAGGAATTGCAAGCCTCACAGGCGAAGTTGTCGCCGACGTCTTATGTCGGCAGCTTGTCAACATCAAAACGGCAGAGCAACCCCTCCAATTCCGTCTTCGGCTGCACCCTCCCCATTCACCTACACTCAATGACAAGAAACAACAACGAAAGCTTCCCAAAGGCAAGTATCGCGCCCAAGCCTTCCCTGAGGAAGGAAAAGCAACCGCCTCCGCCGTTTGGAAGCCACGCGTTTGCCGCGTCTGCGGCGGATCGCTTCGGCATTTATGTGAGTCCGATGGAGCCGTCTCTTGGGGTGGATAACACTGTTGAGCGTAGGGCGGCGTCGGCGACGAGTTTGGAAGGCAGCGCATACGCCTCGAATAACACCTCTGTCTATCAACAGAGGAGTAGGCTGATCCCACGAGCCGACGGGTGTGGTTTACTCAACAAGGAGGACTCATTTGCCTCTTTGAGAACTTCCCAAAATAGTTATATCAGCGCCAACTCATCCATATGCTCCCAATCTCGTCATTATCGCAACGACCCTTATCATACGAGTTGTACCATTTTATAGCCAATCATATGAAAGCTTTCCTTTTTTTTTGGTATCATATCAAAAAAGAAGGATACCAACTATTTAAGCAAGAGCAATGTTGATTGGCTTTCAAACTAGATTTTTCCGACCTAATTGTTTATCTATTACTTTTTCTATCTCATAAAAAATCTCTGTTCCCTTACGCCAATATAAACAATGTTAGATATTAGGATATCATGGCGTACCAATTTATTTTTATATTTATATTTTATTACTTCTAAACCTCACTCCGCAGTTGTGCAGTGCACGTATCCACAGGTACGTTCAAAATTTTAATCACTTTCATAGTTTTATTTAGAAAGAGTTTAATTTAGTTTTATAAATAAGAATAAAACCATTATGAGAACTTTTTGTCTAAGTTCCAACGTTTATAAGTTTCTTACCTGCATGTATAAAGACACCATCAAAAAACATATACTTAAAAAAAAAAAGTATATATATATAAATATATATATATACATTAATATAGATATTGATTTTGGTCTAGTTGTTCAATTTTTTCAATTATATTATTTTCAAAAATATATATCTTTTTAATACCTCCTCGTCTATTTTTATTAATTATTATTTTTCCGATTATTATTATCTGCTGATTTTTATTTACTTTTAAAAACATCAGTTATTGTTCATCGGCCGTTTCTGTATTACAATTATTTACCCCCCAAAAAACTTATTATCTGTCCTGCTACGACTGGAAATTGTTTTTTGTGGTATTGATAATACAACTAAATATACAACCTAGATGATTTCTGTGGAAGTATAATTTTTGTCTATTTTCAATGCTTTTATCTATTTTTGGTATATAAATATTTCATTAATTAACAATTCAATGAGGAATTGATAATAAAACAAAAGTTTCAGAGAAGCCTATATACTGGCAGAGTTTTGTTTAATCTAGTTTTTTTTTGGCTTCATTTTTTAAATATTTTTTGCCTTCCAATAGTGTATCTTAGTTTTATTTTTCTTGCGGCCATGAATATGAGTATGATGAGGCTATGATATTAGCAATAGTTGTTTGGTGTACAAACCAAAATTCACGGAAAAGCATTAGCCACTGTGTGGTGTGTTTATGTTGTTCAAAGAAACAAACACAGAGATGAGTCAGAGAGTAGAAGATAGTGAATGCAATTTAAGTTGTATTATTTGCGAGGGAAAGTAAAGTTGATTAAAATAAAATAAAACAACGGCGAAAGTTTATGCTTGTTCTCCTTGATATTTTATTTTCTGACTAGAGATAGTGAGTGTATGCCGGATAATTCAATTTTTAGAGTATACCTCTATTCTTTATTATGCGTTTGGGCTATGAGTAATCTTCCTTTATATTTTCATTTTTTTTGCACATTTTCCTTTTTTATTTTTCATTAAACCCCTTTTTAATTGATAATTGTTGCATTTTTTCTAATGAACCCTCTCTTTTTTTTTTGTACCAATTACTGCGTTTTTGCCATGTTTTTTATATTGTTGTCTGAATGAAGCTTTAACTGTCATTTGATCGGTGCGCACTATTACCACCTGAAATTCGGCGCATGGATTTCCTTTCTTTTTATTTAGACGCCTCCCAAATGAAACATGGAAAGTGACGCATTATGGCCGGAGAAACATGATCCGTCAATAATTGAGACGCAAGTCACACATGTGGGGTGGTTTTCTTCGTTTAAGCTCTTAGCCTATTAAAATTTCAGCTGGAAAAATATACAGGTTATTAAAAGGAAAAAGATGAAAAAACTGGATAAAAGCGCGTAATGACAAATTTTTTTTTTGGAAATTCCGAATGGCAAATTTCAATACTTTAGATTTCCATATTTGCCGATCTTCTCTTTTCTTTGTCTTTATACTCGGTTTATTATTGTATAAAAATGGTATGGGTATACATGGCAATTTATTCTTTCTATAATCGAGTAAAAGTTTTCCATCCGATGAAAGGTATTCCTCATTTTGCAATTTCACAGCTCTGTGCTTTTAATGGATAGTGGACCAATATCTGAGTTTTGGGTGGAGATTCTTGTTGCCTTCTCTTAAATGTTCACTATGTAAAAACATAGTGAAAAAGGTAGCGTGTCGCTCATTTTACCTAGTTGTTAGCTTGTATTTTTTTGAACAAAAAGTTTCGACTATTCTGAAACAATTTACTTCTGTTTTGTTGTCTTTATTATTTAATGGATTTCTTCCTCGTCATTTTTATATTTTCACGATTGGGCAGTGTTTGAATAATTAGGAAGTTCCTATTATCGCCAACTGTGAATTTAAGATAAACTAAAGTTTGAGAAAAAAATATGATGTGCTTATAATTTTTTTAAAAATGGAACTATATTTTAATGAACTTCACAAAATAAAAAAAGAAAGAAGTAACAGATAAACACCAATGTGTTTGCCAATATTTCTTTAACCCCCTTTTTTTATTTTACCCTTTCATTTTAAAACATATTTTGTTGCTATTTAAAAGAATATGCTGGTTTTATTTCTAGTATCTTTTTTATCGAAATTAATATCACCTCTCTGTTTTAACAATGACATTGAAGCTGAAAAATTAATATTTCCCTTTTTTTTCATCATCACCAATAGGATTCCCCACATGTGATGTAGTAAACCTAACGCCTTTTTATATTTCTATTAATAACCTACAGACGCCAATATTGATAAAGTAGAATGGAAATAAGGTCTCAGTTTCAGATGAATATCCCATATCGGTTGTGAGTATTTGTAAATTAACTCGAAGGCTTTTCACCCGACTGTAGAAAGCAGTCACTGCATGCTTTTTATTTATATAGTTCATGAGTGAAAAAAATAACTGAATCGAACCTGATCTTTCTGATGCACTATCAATGAGCTCAAAATTTTATAGCATCTTCTCTCTTTTCACATTTTCTTTCTTTTCCCTTTTACTTCTTTATGTGCGTTTTAACTGATGTTATTGAAATTTCGAGTATTCTACTAGTAAGAAAGGGTGAGTACAATTTAGACCAAAATTTCACTGCTGATATTCACTACTCATTACCATTATTCTTTTCCTTCGCAAAGGTTTGGGAGTTGACGAAATATACGCAAGTTCGCAAAAAAGAACAGTAAACGATTTTTTATAAGTTTCTGCTTCCAGGTAAATTTTAGCAGGAACTCATTCTTTTTTCTCCGACAAGAAGTTATTTTGAAAGTTAGTGTTTGACTTTGGGCCTTTTTGTCATTTTTTTTACCAGGAGGGGTTTATATAGCATATCTTAAGAACAGGCTAAGAGAACGTTTTATTACTACTAAAAATTCCTACTCACGTTGTTTCTTTGAACTACACCACAGGTAATTCTTCAAAAAAAAGCGACAAGGTAAATTTTTATCCGGTTATAAACACAAAACAGAAAAGGATAAGCCAAAATAGCAGTTGCCCTGCTTTCGAAAAAAAGAAAATAGAAATATTTATCTGTTTAATTTTCTTAGCCAGTTTTTATATCATTTATTTTGCGAAATTCAATTTAGCCTGTTTAAAATTTTCCTTCCAAAAATACTATATTGACTTATTCTATTTGTAGCTTTTTGTTAGCACATTAAAGTTGATTGCTAGTTTTATTCAGATACCTTCATTTTTTGATCAGCCCTACATAAGCGTACGGCTGTTTAGCAATACATAGTAGGAATTTCGCTTAAACAAGTAGAGGATATAAATTATTATTCCACTAGTTGCGCAGCTATTATTAAATAAATCAGAATAACATAGTAAAAAGGGGGAGTAACAATTGTGATTTTGAAGACTTTTTTTTTTAGAATTGTAAGATACAACTAAATCAGTGAATAAGTTAACACGTAAGACTCATAAAATTTATTCAAAAATTTTAGGAGTAACATCGTAGGTTTATTGTTTTTTCTCTAACTAATCTGCACAGACCGGACCTATCTCAGTCATCCACGTCACACAAACCCACTAGAACAACCCCCACAGGATCATGACTGAGAAGCAGCTAACTCAGACGGCCGGCAAAACCCTCAGCGAGCCCTTCGGTTTTTCCCCCATCTTTGAGGACCTCAACAGTATGTTTTCTAACATGAAAGCCTTTTTTGACACCGAGGATGAGTCTGTGCCGTCGCTTTCCTATGCCCCCCTCAACCTAAACCATCCCCCGCTTTCGACCCCAGCCCAAACCCCAGGGGGAGGAGGGGGGGTCCCCTTTTACGGCCTCAACTACGCCTCGGGGGAGGGGGCAGGACTTCTCGCGAAGCCCTCCGCGCGAGGAGCGGCCCATCCACCCTTTTCGGTCTCAGCGGAGCACACG